ATTAGATTTGTAGTATAAACAACCTTGACAAGCTATCAAGTGCTTGGTTCATTCAAGAGACAACTCCGTTAATCATTTTCATTAGTTTGTGAAGAGTTGTCCCCCTTTGTTTACTTGCTAGCAGACGACATTTTCAGTGATCCTCAGTATGGATGATTTAGAGAAAAGGAAGTTGATTTTAGCGTATTATAACAAAGACATCAGATCAGCTAAAGTGATTTCAAATTAGAACAGGCATCCCTTTGTCCACTGTTTATCGTGTTTTGAAAAATATTGCAAATGGATGTGGCATTGAGCACCAGGGAGGCGCAGGTAGGCCGAGAAAATGGACTGTCGGTTACAGGAGGCGGTTTGGTATTCTTGTTTCTAAAACGAAACGAAGGAGTTAAGAAAACTTAAAAGGCTAGGTATGATTGACAAAAAAACTGTGGCTGTCTGTAAGGAGACAATTAGAACGGGGCTGCATGCAATGGGTTGGCAGAAAAGTCGAGGAATTCCATCACCGATCATGAAACCTGAACAAAAGGAGCGAAGGTTGAACTGGTGCTTACAGCACAGAAATTTTAACTGTGACAGTGTGGTCTTCTCAGATGAAAGTTCTGTGTGGCTGTTTCTAATACACTGAAATTCTGGTCCAAACAAACTGAAAAATCTTTGTATCAGCGCCCAAAAGTACAGTCCGAAATTTAACGTGTGGGATGGCATATCTGTGTTAGGGCAACGCCCTCTGTGTCTTTGAAGGAATATGAACAGTGAGCGGTACACAGATATTCTCGAGGGACATTTCTTCCATCTGCTCACGTGTTCTATAGAAAGTTTTGGATTTTCCAGCAGGACAACGACCCACAACATCGTTCAAAGCATTCACAGGCCTGGTTTCGACCCAAAATATGACATTATTAGATTTGCCAAGCTATAGCCCTGACCCAAATCCAATAGAAAATGTTTGGAGACTTATGAAGGAAAGTGTCAATAAGAAAAATCTGACAAATATTGCTGAAATGAAAGAAGAGGTGGTCCAATATTGGGACAGCATGGACCACAGCTTTCTAACTTCTTTGATCAGTAGTATGCCCCGCCGCATTGAAGCCTGACAAAATACTAACTGTTCACCTCTCTTTGAATCTGGAGTTATTTTTCTGCTAATATTCACATTTAATACGTGAGTAATTAGTGAAAAAAATATAAAATTTCATAATCTTTAAATTCTCAATAATTTCTGGTTGTACTCGTATGTTGAATATCCGTAATGGCTGAAGTGGCCCGGCGCTGGTAATGGAGCAAATGGAATAATTTTTTATGTATCACCTTGATCTAAAATCGTTATATTGTTAATCTAATATTTTACCCCTATCGTCCTTCAAGATTGGTAGCTATCTTAACATCTACTGTCAGTCTTCACTACTATTTGCAATTCGTTCTTCACAACTATTACAGCCGCCATATTGCTGGAATATTATCTTCAATTTATAGAAAGAGTATATGCTTGGTACACATACATGGTGAGATATACAGCTGTATACCAAAACATGAAGAGTAAACGCATAAAGTGGTACCCCGTTTGACGAGGTACTCAGTTAATCCTAAAAAACCGACCTTCCAGTCAACTAACATAAACCTTCTGAGCCCCACCCACCCTCAGTATTGATACATGAAACGTCAATATGTCAATGGCAATTGATGGCATCGAAACGGGACATGGCAGTGTTTCCGTCCCATGTTCTGATCACACGGTGACCAGGAGGGTATCATCTGAGCCGTGTTGTAATTCTACCAAGCTCGGCTTGTTTCTAGTCTCATTACAGTGTCCCAAGGGTCGATGAACCCTACTGTAGAAGTGACTGTAAATAAACACGATCTTCGTAGTGCCCGACATCCTTAAATAACTAGACTACGACTGCCGTGGATGACAAGCCAAAATGAACCCCAGAAGCCAGACTCATTTGGGGATTATATTGATAGACTTGGGCCCAGAATAGCTGCTAGTAGCTAAATATAACCCATAATCACCAAACGCCAACCCTGCTTTGATTTAGGCTTTTCTGACTGATCGATCACATTGTATCGCGTATTGATTATTACGAGTCGTATATGAATAAATACGAGCTTTATTAACACCGCTGTAGGATTTCAGTTACATGTTGTAAGGACCTCTACGGTATGGAATTATCAGACGGATCACTAAATGTCTGTGGCAATGTTCTTTAGCTAAATTGTCTATCTGCAATATTTAAAAAAATGAGAAAGTAAATTTCACTTTACTGGAAATAAGAAACACCCTATGCCCCCAAAGAGAAGAGCAACGTACAATGTATCTGTGTTTTCGCCAGGAACATAAGGAAATTATAAAAAATTAACATATCTATACATACTTATGCTCGTTTATACATATTTACATTTTAATAAACACGGACCCTTCTATAAATATATGGAAGCGTTTGTTCCGCGTTATTCAAGTCAGTATTCCAAGATTAACATCTCTCTTAGAAGAAAGGGAAACTGCTTTGGAAGTCAATTCTGTAAATAGAGAAAACACTGTTGACCATCGCATGCCCCATGAACAATTTTGACATGTGTGTATAACACCAGAAGAATTAGTTATAACACTAGCCGACGTTTTACATTATGGTCTCTTAAAACAAAACAGCATCTCTTGTGTTTCACATGGAACCACAATGGTAAGCCTTTGCGCCAAGTTGCAAATGATATTAATACAGCAGCAGGACAACACAGGTTGTGAGGAACCATTTCTACCCGCTGCAAGCTGTGGTTGTAACATGCATACCACACACAGCCATGGTATACTGACCCCCTAGTCGGCTACCCCGTCCTGTAGATGCCGGGTGCCGGGCAGGACAAACACAGGTTGTGAGGAACCATTTCTTCCCGCCGTAAGATGGTTGTAACACGCATACCACACACAGCCATGGTATACTGACCCCTAGTCGGCTACCCCGTCCTGTAGATGCCGGGTGCCGGGCAGGACAACACAGGTTGTGAGGAACCATTTCTTCCTGCCGCAAGATGTGGTTGCAACACGCATACCACACACAGCCATGGTATACTGACCCCCTAGTCGGCTACCCCGTCCTGTAGATGCCGGATGCCGGGCAGGACAACAACAGGTTGTGAGGAACCATTTCTTCCTGCCGTAAGATGTTGTTGCAACACGCATACCACACACAGCCATGGTATACTGACCCCTAGTCGGCTACCCTGTCCTGTAGATGCCGGGTGCCGGGCAGGACAACACAGGTTGTGAGGAACCATTTCTTCCTGCCTCGCTGTGGTTGTAACATGCATGGTATACACACACAGCCATGGTATACTGACTTCTACCTCGGCTACCCTGTCCTGTAGATGCCGGGTGCCGGGCAGGACAACACAGGCTGTGAGGAACCATTTCCTTCCTGCTGCAAGATGTTGTTGTAACATGCATGGTATACACACACAGCCATGGTATACTGACCCCTAGTCGGCTACCCTGTCCTGTAGATGCCGGGTAACACAAGAGTACAAACTCTTACTTTCGCTCTTGAAAACTGTCATGTTGTGGCAGTTCCTGGAAGGCTGACAGTATCTGTAACATTTGCGACGTGGCGGGCGAGACAACATGTTTTACTACTTTTGCTGAACCTTTGTCTTCTGTACGGACCATGCAGATTGGTTTCTATGTCTCAAAAACCGAGATCCAACCCACTCAGCCACCTTTGGCATTAACAAGAGATCGATTACGTACTTTGTGTACCCCTGACAAGTGTAATATGTCACCGCCCCCACAGCCGAACGCTATGAACAGACAATGACATTTAGAAAGTGGTCCAATGTAACATGTGTTATAGCGGGTGTTCTTCAATACTAAGAGCGGTGGGTCACATTAGTGGTACAAGCGTTCGATCCTCATGCTGAAGGAGTGGGTTCGATTCCCCACATAGGTACAATATGTAAAGACTATTTCCAGCTGTCCATGGTATTGCTGGAATATTGCTAAAAGCGGCATTAAAACATACTCACTCACTCCAATACCAAACTTACAAGCACTGCCACACCACGACCCCTAAACCCCAATTACTGTGTACTCTCTAAATGTCAAGCATAGTGATATTGATATACATTTACACGGTTCTGGATGACAGAGTTCCATTCATAGACACATATGTATCGGCGCCGACGCCGAATGCCATGAAATACTACCCTGTGTGGAAGACGAACACACGACGACAGGTTGCTCAATAGGAAGAGTGCAATGCTATCGATCACCTACAGATATTACTAAATGGTTGTTACTATGTGTCATTAAGCCATGTTGTCGACACCAAGTTGGGGTATGTCATTCGTCAAGTATCAATGGTTAAATGGACTTGATAATACCTGACGTGTCATTTCGACACTAACAAATGCTCTATTAATATCTCAAACATATCTGATCACTAGCGAAACACGTACACACACACACCACACACAGAGATAACACACAGACACATCATATAGATACCTCTCTACACACAATAACAAACTCTTAATACTCACACACACACCACACACAGAGATAACACACAGACACATCATATAGATACTCTCAAACACATATCTTCCTCATCCCTCACAAACACACACCCTCCTAATCCACACACACATCCTAATCCACACACACACTCCTAATACTCATACACACACATACTCCTAATACTCACACACACATACTCTAATCCTCACACACACATACTCCTAATACTCACACACACATACTCCTAATACTCACACACACATACTCCTATTCCTCTCACACACACATACATACTCCTAACATACGACATGTCGTATGACATTCTACCCAAAATCCGTCGGACTACTTTATGTGTAAGATAACCAACTACTAACTGTTCTATGTCAAATGTTTTATTTTCAAAGTATAAATGTATAACATTGAATACAAAGTACAAAATGAGGACGTGAATTGAGCTTACAACACAAGACAACTCGCCCCTATTATATATATTCGTAGTGACGTCACAATTGTCAATAAGCAATGACACTCAGGAAACGTGCACAGCTTCTCCATTGCGCCATCGAGGGGTGATTGGCAGTATACGCCCATAAAGATGGTGGATGCGTCGAATATAGGACATCTAGATCTCTTGTTAGGGGACAGTCCCAGTAACTTCGTGTATTGCACCTTCAACCTACAGTCAGATACTACCGTCAAGCACCTGTCCTGCTGAGGTACCAGGTCATGTCTGCTCTTCGTCTTGTCAGTTAGTGTAGGATAGCTCCTCACGAGTTCTTTTCACTCTCCTTTGTCTTGAGAATGGACCTTGGCTTGTTTCTCTTGGCGTTCCTTGTCTGAGATCTAGGTGTCTCCAGACTCGGGTGACTTTCATCTGCCCAGTGAACGGACTGACGTCGGAGACTGAGGCAGCTGTCTTTACACAAGCACATCTCTGGCATCTCCATGGAACCTCGGCGGAACAAGCTGTAGTCGAGCTGCGACGACGGCAGACATTTTGGACACGTCATGTCCTCTCCGACATCAGATGAATGACTGTCTTCAGTCCCAAGTTTGAGCATGAGAAGGGCTTGGCGGAACTGAACAGACGCCATTGTTGTTGGACCTGGTAGTAGAAAGGGGAACGTTTGATTACATCGACGCTAACATAACAGATATATACATAGACCACGACAGAAATAACATAAACACAAAATGAGAGTCTGCAATTCAGCTGTGTGTCCTTTTTACAATTATATTTATATTTTTATATCATGCCTGATTGTATATTTTGTATTGTAATGTGCTATTGGTCTGTATTAAGTACTGAAATAAGGATTGACTGATTGACTGATTGACAGTATCATGTAGTTGATTTGGGAATAATTCCGACATAGGTAGATATATGGGCAAGTTAAATTCAGTTGCTTTAAAGGTGTGGTGATATAAAGTGGGGCAGATAAAAAGACACAGAGCCTCCTCATAGTCCATCTATCGTACATCTATCGTACATCTAACATAAAATAGCTCCCACAAACGTAATCCGTTTGAGATTGATATATTTCAAAATGGAATCAGTTTCCAATTTAACAAGAAAAGATTTTTGAGTACTTCAGTATCTAACAACCTCGCACAAAACAGGGTAAGTATATCCCGTATGTCCACGCATGCAGGACATGTAATAACCATGAATATCGATTGAATTTAATTGAACAAAAGTCATCGATTCGTAAAATTGGAATAGTGAGTAATTGACCAGTATGTTTCAAACATATTTACAACACAGCAGCAAAAACATACATAAAAACATATATCCGTTTGTACGCTATATCCGTGTTCGCTATATCCGTGTTCTACTGTATATTAAATTGGTAATATTCCTAAATATTGAAAATAGCTGGTATTGGAATTAAATCAAGATTGTCGGGTTATAGAGGAATATACATGGTAGATAAATAAATTAACGACTTACCTTTGTTAAATTATCCTGGTTCAAAGATGTGGTAGTACTCTGTACACCTGATTAAGTGTGATCAAGCCGAGTCAGACCTTTAAGCCTGTTTGGTGTAATCAGTGTGGAGACAGTTCTGGTTGGTGAAGCCCTGGCGACGGTCGCTACTAGACTGTTGACGTATGACTGCTACACGCATATATACCAGTGGAGGCAACCACGCGCACGTTGGCGCATTGCCACAACCAGCAGCTGGGAACTACAGCCCATTGTATACGGTGCCATACATACAGGAATACAGGCTGACAGACACTGACCATACCATTATATAGGTCATATCGTGGTTCCTACATAATACATAGAATATAGACACTCTCTCTCTCTGTATGTATGTATGTATGTATGTATGTATGTATGTATGTATGTATGTATGTATGTATGTATGTATGTATGTATGTATGTATGCATGCATTCATGTATGTGGTTATAAAATGATAATGATACAAAACAGAGGACCATTGGCCCAGGCAAATTAGTGGTTGGAGTTCAACCATGCAATCGAGTCTACTTAAACCATTGTAGGCAAGGGTAACTGTGTACCTCAAACCCCGAAACCTAACAGGGTTATCTGTCTCGGAATCATGTTTGATCATTAAGGGATAATCAGGAGGGGGAGTCTTGGAGGGTGGGCTGTCATTCCAGCAGCCATTTCTTGCAACAGTTGACTTTATTTATAAAGACATGGATTGTCTCAAGATGACGTTGTTGTAGCTCGTTCAACACCCAATCATTCGCTCAGTACCAAATGCTAAAGCATTTATCAATCCCTTTTTCTTGTTTCCTATCCTACATACAGGCTTCTGAATATCGAGTCATGGCCTTGACCATCCCGCTTGCTTGGGTGCCACCATCTATACGGGACGTGATCACTGGACGCGGCGTGGTATTGGTAGTGCCTCATGTGTGATGCCTTACGTGATAGAGAAAATTAGGGCTTACTTGAACTTCGGCCTTAGATGATGAACAGCGAGACACTCCGTGAATGGTACAATATAAGGTAGTGTGTCAAGTGATCCTTCTGTGTACATCTCGAGTACGTAAACCATCAACAGCTTGGTTGATTTACTGCTCCCAGCTGACACATGTTTAATCAAATCAATAATACTACACTTTATTGGGGTATTAAAAGGGAGACGTTTCTTTAGATATAAGAAACCAGAGGTCATCATCGTGTGTGTGTTCTTGCAACTGTTATCAGTTCCGCCAAAATAGCTGCCTTAAAATGTCTCGTAATCAAATGTGGTAAAAACGGAGAAGGAGTTATCTCGTGTGTTTGGATCTCGATATCAAGAGGTTTATTTACCAATGCTTTACTATCAAAGTGCTGTAAAGTATATTTGGTGCAATAAATACTCTACGTCTTAGACAGACTTAGGTACACTCAAGGTTTTTGTTCCCTCTTTTCTCTTGTTTTTGTGTGCAGATTTAACCCAACACATGTCCAAGAATTTACTCTAAGATACTTTACTGGTCTTATGTTGCAAATAAACATCGCATCTGAATACAAGGCGTGACTTGTTGTTACACAAGAGCTCAAAAGAGGGTAATCGCATATGATTTGGATACCTGTTTGTGTTATGGCATTTCTTTAAAAATCACTCACGCCCTGTTTGAATTTCTTCACACTATCATTTAAGTGACGTGTATGACGATTTTACAATGTCGGTATTTTAATGCGTTAAACGACTTGAATAGTTAAGTAAAACTGAAATGCGTAAACTGGGGCGTTATTTTTAGTCATACATTACACGACTTGACGACGCTCCTTGTGACAGTACGTTTCTTTACTTGAACGTTGACTGTGGTTATTCTGTTAATATTACACCCTTCTCATTACACAACGCTACGTGGGGTATTCAACACAATATAAGTACAGGTGGTATTGAAAAGCGACCAGCCTTCATATAAAGGGAACAGAAATTCGAAAACCGCCAGTTTAGCCTGCCATACATAATACCACGAACTTATCAAGTTGTAGCGATACCTGCCCTTCGGGTGATTGGACCCAAGTTCCAGAGCTATGCTATTATTGCACCATTATTGTGGAGAGAAGTATATTTTAATTTTATATTAACATGAAAGTTTACAGATTGAACGGGACTTTTCGGAACAAGAGGACAGCCAGTGTGTAGCATGTGCAGGCTTTGAGCGACAGTGTTCCATCTGCAGTGATATATTGTTGTGCTCAGTTCAGTGACAAACCATTGCATGCTGTTCACTGGAATCAATAGGATTTTGATATATATTGCAGAAAAACTAGGTTATTTGTATAATTGTATTAAATATTTTTTTTGTTTCTTGTTTCTTGTCTTCTTCTCGAAATATTGTTGAAAATGGCAGCTAAATTTCTCTGGTTTTTGTTAATTGCGTACTACATTGTATAACATTGTAAAAAATATACTATTAGTTTAGAAATTGTCGTTTTCCTTCAAGGGCGGGGTTGGGTTTAGCCTAGTGGTTAAAAAAAAAGCGTTCACTCTCAACACCCGGGTTCTATTCTCCACATGGGCACAATGTGTGAAGCCCATTTCTGGTGTCCCCCACCATGATATTGCTGGAATATTGCTAAAAGCGGCGTCAAACTAACCACTGACTGACTGACGGTTCGTTATATAAAAAGGTCTTCTATTGTATGTCAGCCATGGTTGTGTGTGTGTGTGTGTGTGTGTGGGGGTTGACAGTCCCCCAAGATACAGATCATGGCCAACTATCACACATACGCACCTTTCTACCTGTATTTGTATATGAACATAAATAAATGTATTTTTGACTATTTCTGTAACTCCGTGAGGAGGGTTTGCTGCTCCGATGTCAATGTGTATTCTCAGTATTTACTGTGTTATTATGAAGTAACTTGTAATAGCATATCAATTGGTTGCGGGTGGCTAAATCAGTGTTAATCCTGTTAGTTTTGGTGGTATATTTAGTACGCGTTACTTGTGCCTATATCGGGGTTGATCTTGCCTGTTTTTACCACGGGGACTCGGGTTCATATGTCCTCCTAATTTGTGTGTGTGTGATTGTAGGTGGTGTCGACATGAATTGGGTTGATAGGTTCGGTAACATGAGTGCGGTAACATGGTAAACATAGTGGGCTTGTCATGTCGTAACACTGCTGAAATTGAGGCCTAGGTTGAAGTTAGATCTTATATTGAAAAGAAAATGAACCGATATAAATATTCCAGTTTCTAAATAGCAAATTGTAATGGGTTTCATTTAAGGGGGTCTATGCTTCTCGTACGATCAGGTAATAATACTAATAGTAATAGTCCGCTTATATGGCGCGCTAATATCCAGGCACATTGCCTGCTCACGCGCTACGTACTTTACTATCCCTGGTCATACGACACTATCATTACTTTTCCGATACTTTTCAACTCCCTGGGGATCATACAGCCATGCTGCCTATCAGGCGCAATGAACTAAACACCCATATTGCCAGCACATCCTCACGGGTACCCATTTTACAGCTGGGTGAACTGAGATTAATGTGGCTCTAAGTATCTTGTCCAAGGATACTACGCAAATGTGCCAACCTCGGGACCCGAACCTAGGTGCCTCCACCGGGAATCGAACCAGGTCCTTCAGCGTGATAGACATACGCCTTACCACTGCACTATTGCGCTGTACAATCATATAGTCACAAGTATATCAAAAAATTGTGAAGTCATTTTTTTAATGGATTGAATGACTATGAAACAGGAATGTACATGTGATCCAGCATATCGTTATGGTCAATGTCGAATCAAATATTCTGGCAGCAATGATAATCATCCACGAGTATGACGATTGTTTTGCAATATTGACAACCTCATGCAACACGATATATTTCAAAACCAGCGTCCTCTCTGACCACACAATATTGAACGTCAGCCTGATACAGCAGTACACAGAGTGAATATGTTTTTATTCTGCATTTATCAATAATCGGCGGGGAACACAAGAAATGGTCCCTTGCTTGACAACTGTATAATAATCTACACGGAAACTAGCATCATATAAATAATAAAGAAGTTGGCATCCATCAAGAATCTTGCCTTTATTCATAAGCTTGTTTAGTATGGTACCTTATAGGTCATATAAAGACTGATACTATTCATGCTACAGGCTGGATAATGCTATCTGTCTGATGACTGTCCGTCCTTGTATTTACTCCTGGTACATACTGTAGTGTTTATTCGTCAATACATGGTTTGTGATATAGTAGACTCCCCGAGGTAGAGAGTGTTGACATTCGTCCACATTTTAAACTACCTCGGTAGTTTACTGTGTTGTGATAATATACTGCATAAAAATCCAGACTTCAGTTGATGTTTCAAATCTTAAAACGCGCACTATGTATTAATATAGTGACTGCCAGTACTTGTCGAGGCTAGTGCCTGCTTTTTTGGAAGCGCTAGCCCACTTAGAACCTGCTACATCCTGCAGTTTAATGTTGATACCCAACTCCGACAAAGCAAACTCACCCGTGATAATCACGACATGGGTTCGAACCACAGTATTCGCCTGATACAGATTAAGAGGTACCTCTGATACTAGATACTAGACAATGAACTAATGGTGTCCCCTGAAAATATGCTATGAATTCGCCCTCTACAGATGGTTCTTTTAAGCCCTTATTGATTATCTTGGACAAGGCTGACATATTTCCAATGATCGAAATGGTTATATTTGTTAGGAATGGTTATATTTTTTAATCTTTGTTAATTAGAAATACAGTTTGTATGTAGAATATGATATGACCCGTAGTGAACGAACAAGTTCCCAAGGTTTCGATTTCATCATCATGTGGTGGACTTTGGATGGACCACACGTCCAATACCTCTTCATTCACTTTGGAGATTCTTGTGGAGAAGGTGGTAATAGTTCAACATCCCCTTCATCAAGTCGAGATGCTGGCCTCAAAAAGGCATGACAGGAGCTTTGAGGATCCGACTCAAGTTTCATATCTGTGCCGATTATTAGGTGGTGGGGTAGCCTAATGGTTAAAGCGTCCGCTCGTCAAGCTGAAGACCCGGGTTTGATTCCGTACGTCGGTACAATATGTGAAGCCGATTTCTCACTCACTCACTCACTCACTTCAAATTTACAAAC